AGACGAGTGTGCGCCGCGCTAAGGAGAGAGCCACATTTTGAAAACCACCCGCCCTCCATCTGTGAAACTGTTGCATTTTCTTAAGCTTCAGAGTCATAAATGGTGAGGAAGTCTCAGGCGAAACGCCCGGCTCGCCCTCAAAACTGGCCTCGGGGTGCGACAGGGAGAAATTATTCAAAAATGAAAAGGAATGGGGGAGGAGGAGGAGGAGGAGGAGGAGGAGGAGGAGGAGACGGAGACGGAGACGGAGACGGAGACGGAGACGGAGACGGAGACGGAGACGGAGACGGAGGAGGAGGAGACGGATAAGGAGGAGGAGGAGGAAGAGGAGGAGGAGGAGGAGGAGGAGGAGGAGGAGGAGGAGGAGACGGATAAGAGGAGGAGGAGGAGGAGGAGGAGGAGGAGAGGAGGAGGAGGAGGAGGAGGAGGAGGAGGAGGAGGAGGAGGAGGAGGAGGAGGAGGGGGATGGGAAGAAGGAGGAGGAGGTCGATGGCGGAGCGCTCGCGCGCGCCCCCCCCCGTCCTTGCCTCCGAGAGGGGAAGGAGCAGGAGGAGGAGGAGGAGGAGGAGGAGGAGGAGGAGGAGGAGGAGTAGGAGGAGGAGCAGGAGGAGCAGGAGGAGCAGGAGGAGCAGGAGGGGGAGAACGAGAAGGAGGAGGACAAGGAGGAGGAGGGGTAGCGGTGTGAGGGGGAGGAGGAGGAGGAGGAGGAGGAGGAGGAGGAGGAGGAGGAGGAGGAGGAGGAGGAGGAGGAGGAGGTCGATGGCCGGGCGCTCACGCGCCCCCACCCCCGTCCTTGCCCCCTGGAGGGGGAGTTGCAGGAGGGGGACGAGGAGGAGGAGAGAGGAAGGGTGGTGGGGGGGCAGAGGAGGAGGTCGACGGCCAGGAGAAAGAGTGTGGAGAGGGGGATGAAGAGGTTGAGGATGATAACGGGGGAGAAGGGGTGGGGAGTGACGAAGGAGGAGACGAATGAGGCCCAATAAAGAACCGGGCAATACGTATTGAGCTTAGTCTGCCTACCGATTGATGTTTCAGTTTGTGTTAACACTCACACGTGCACCGTTACATGTACAGAGGCTTCGTTTGACGGTCGGTAGCATGTTGCAGGTGATTGGGGATATTGTGTTTTCAGTATGCCTTCGCTTTTCTCAAATGTCATACGCAGCTGCTCAAATGCAAGCGTCGCATACTCACTGAAGGTACCCTTCGTTTACATCTCCCTGCATGAAGACAGATTCCAGACGATTCGCCCAACCCCACCAGCCCATGTAGAAACGATGCCCAGACGAGTTGCCCTGAGGCGCGCAAGATGACCGCGCGGCGCGGGGCGCGATGCGCGGACCTAGGCGTCAGGGGTGGACCTAAACGGTGTTTTGGCGACTTCGTGTGCCGTTTTCGTTTCGATCTCGTTTTGCGTTCAAGGCGGATTGAAGACAAAACTAGGGACAATGAAAACAACACGAACGCGAAAAACACCGTTTAGGTTCCTGCTAGGCCTCACCCCCGTGGCATCGTTCGGTTGTGTGCACTTTTTTTCTCGGCGAGGGCCATCTCCTGGATCACCTGTGCAGAAGAAGCACGTGCCACATCGAAACATGCACGGGGAATGGCCGTCCGAGCGATGGCAGGCCTCGCTCCATGCTGGCGCGAGTCCTGCCCGAGCCCATCATGGTGTCCAGGGTTGCTGCCCATCTCTCCTGGACAGCACTCCAGGGCACAGGATCTCAGACATGCGATAGATCTAATTTTTGTCCCCACTGCGCGGCCCCCAGAAGTCCCGACCCTTTCCCCGGGGCCCAGTGTGTCATCCCGAGTCGTTGTCTGAAGATCACGAGGCCCTGCGAGGGCCCCTGGAGGCCGAAGGTGGCCAACAACAGTCCCACCGAGACTGTGTCCCCACGCGAGCATGTCTTGGAAAGGGCCTGGACAGGATTTCAGGGCACATGACATGCGCCACTGCCCGCCCTTCAGGATGCAACCTCTGGGAGGTTGAGTTCAGCATCGGCGTTGGTTTATCCGTGGCCAAAGACTGGTCCAATCGAGCTTAAGTAATCCAGTTTGGGCCCAGGTCTAATTCGGGTAAAGTCTGGCCTAGTCCGGCTGAATGGCCCCTTGATCGGGCTTAATAGCAATCAATATGCCTTACGAAGACCTCACAGACGTTGCTTAGTTACTAAGGCTTCTGCCTTGGCCCACCGTTTGCCCGGGGTTGGTGCACAAGGCATGGACAACACTTCTGGGGCACATGACAGGGCGCCCATGGCTTATTGAGTGACACATGAGGCAGGGGGAGAGAGGTGGAGGGAGGGAGGGAGGGAGGGAGGGGAGGGGAGGGGAGGGAGGGAGGGAGAGGGAGTGAGGGAGGGAGGAAAGGAGGAGGAAGGAGGAGGAGGAGGAGGAGGATGTGGATGTGGGCGCCCTCGATGGGCCGTTCGTCGAAGCCCCCCCCCCCCGACGAGGGCGCTATCTTCAGCCGCACCCCCGCGCCCGGGGCGGCCTCGAGCGCCGCGCTGCAGCCGGAGGAGCTCGCCGGGGCCCCGGCCCTGCCGCGCCCTGCGGGGAGCGGGGCGCGCGGGCCCGAGGCGACCCCGGGCTGCGGGCGTTTGTCTTTCTGTCTGGCTCGAGCGGGGCGTCGTCGCCCGGCTTCGGGCCCCCCAGGACCTTTGCTTGGCATCGCTTGGACGTGTGCATTTGTTCTCGGCGAGAAGCCACGAGGACCATCCTGGACCATCGAGGAGAAACAACACCCACGAAACCGAAAAAAGTGCACGGGAAATGGACGTCCGAGCGACGGCAAGCTTTTTTGGACGCCCGAAATGGGTACGGAAAGAATGGGCACAGTGCCCAACAGCAAATGTTGTCCCAAGCCAGCAGCGGCCGCTGTTGGGCAGGCGGTCTTCTGTCTCGACTGGACACAGGCCGCGGCGACACCGACAGCGAGCCCCTGTTCAGAACGAACAGGAACTGCTGTTGGGCACTGTACCCATTCCTTCCGTACCCATTTCGGGCGGCCAAGGGTGGGCAAAGAGGCGGCGCATATGAAAAGTGGGCCCTGGTCGCGCCGTTTTTCGCTCTGGCCCAGTCCCCCCGCGGCGTCGGCTCTCGGGGTCGGAGATCTGTGCGGACGGGGCGTTCCAGCTTGGGCCTGGGGGCCTTTGTAAGGCCTCGGGCTGCGCAGAAACGGCCCCTCCAGCTTGTCCCGGCCGGCCTCAGCAGGCGCCCCGCGAGCAGTCCGGGGGCGGCAGAGAGGGGGGGTGACGATCAGCGGGGGTGGATGTCGTGGCGAGGGCCATGGTATTTCCCCAGATTCCATGGCGCCTCTTCTCATTTCATTCCGTCCCTCACTTTATGATGTTCCAACCTACTTTAGCCTTGATCACCAGAAAGAATTTCGAGCACCAGAAAAAGATACCGAAACTGCAGGGTTTTCACGTGTCGGGCCCTGGGAGACACTGGTCCGACACTGTTTCGACACTCTTTCGATACTTTTCCGGGTGCTCGAAATTATTTCTGGGAAGTGGTCATTAGGTACGATGGGAGCAACATAACCCTCGCTCCCCCCCTGGGCCGCGCACATGCCGCCGGCCACGATTTGCACCCCCCCCCCTTGGCCGCCCCCCTCTTGGCCGCCCCCGAGTAGCCCGGGGTGGTCTCAACACAGTACCCTGGCGCAGCCTCCGGCGGCCTGAGACCGACAGGGTCTGAGACCGCCTTGGACTGCACGGGGGGCCTGCTGATGCCCTCTGGGACCTCCTGGGGGGCTGTCCTCCTCCTCCTCCTCCTCCTCCTCCTCCTCCTTCTCCTCCTCTTCCTCCTCCTCCCCTCTGCCCGCCTCTCGAGCATGCCTCTGGCTTTCCAGGAGCCCCTGCCTCTCCTGAGAACCGACGTGGCCCACAAGAGTGCAGCATCGCAGACAAGGCACGACCAGAGCCCTGGACCTCATCTTCCTGCGTCGTTCCCAGAGCCAGAGCGGTCTGAGTGTCCAGGGGGCCCGGAGTGGAGCGAAAGGCGCACGCTGTGAAACAAAAATGGCAGCGCCAGGGCCTTGGGGTCCTCTCCGCGGGCCCTCGCCGGGCCCTGGGGCAGTCAGGACAAGGGTCGGGGTGAAGCGCCGGCCCTGCGAGGGAAAAAGGGGTCGGGACGTGCGGGGGCCGCAGGGGCGAAGTGGATGAGGCACCGAGCCGGAGCCGCCGTGTCGCTCCTTTCGAGAGAGCGGGAAGACGTCTCAGCGCTGCCCGGTTGGAGTCGATCCTCCTGTGCCCCAGGAGGCGGTGCGTATGGATATATTCTCGAGGCCCCTTCGGCCCAAGGGTACCCGACTCCGCCGCCCTCCCTTGCAAAGGGGAGCCCGGGCTGGCCCTCAGCCCGTGGGCTTCGGAAGGCCTCCCCCCCGCCCTTGACAGGCGACCTCCTGCTTCGCAAAGGGAGGAGGGCGGAGGGAGCTTCTGAAGCCCCCCCCCTCGAGAAGGAAGCCTGGGCTCACCCTGGAAGCCGAAAGGCAGACTGGTCCCCGGGCGGTGCATGCGCGTGAGCTCCGGCCTCGCCAGGGGGGTGTGGCGAGGGCCCTGTCCGCGTTCCGATGGGTGCGAGCGTGCCGGCGCCAGCGCGCCGCGTGGGCCGATGTGCGTGGTCTGTTGCGCCGTGTGGTGTGATGCCGCCGACCCCCCACGCCTCCTCCTCCTTCTCCAGCTTCGGTTGGCTTCGAGTTCCTGGGGCGAGGGCCGTCTCTCGGGTTCCCTGCGGACCTCGGACGTCTGGGCCGTGCCGCGCCGCGTTGAGGAGGGCTGAAAGGGGTTGTGCTGGGGTCGGTTTATGCGTCGCCGTCCCTCGGCCCTGTTCAGTGGAGGGAGTGCATAGGCGAGCCCCCTAGGAGTTCCCGATAAGGGGGTCTCGTTTGTATGCCAGTGGTATCCCCCTGCAGGGCCCCACAGAATCTCGGGCCCCTCAAGCGGTTCTCGAACGCCTGATCCGTTTTTTGTTTTCCCTGTGGGCCTGCAGGGTGCGGTTGTCTCAAGGCGATTGACTTCATCGGATCATCGGCGCTGCTCTGCTCTGCTCTCCTCCTCCTCCTCCTCCCCCCCCCTCCTAGCCTCCCCCTCGCCGCCATCTCCCTTACCCCCCTCCTCCCTCCCACCTCGCAGTTATCTTCCCCGTCATCCTCTTCCCTGCCTCCTTCTCGCCGCTGCCTTCCTCCTCGTCCTCCTCATCCTACTCAGGGTCCGAAGCACGCATCTTGGCTCAAGTGGGGCATGTCCCTCTACAGGAGGAGCGTTCGAAAATAGCAGAACACAGTCCGGGGACGATTTTTTGACTGTGCTCGATGATTTTTTGAATGTGCTTCGGCTATTCTTGATTTGTCCCCCAAATCCGCCTGTATGGAGACATTTTTTTGAATCGGCGATGACTCGGGTTATCCCGTGGGGGGAGGAGGGGGCCGGCCGATAACCTAACCCTCGCGCTGTAGGCATCCTTGCATATGCCCGATCCTGGGAGGGGAGGGGGGGGGGAAAGCCCGATAACCCAGGTTATCGTCCGACCTTTAAAAAATCAGTCTCATGGGAGACATGCCCGACGTAAATCTTGGCATCGCTCGGACATGTGCACATCATTTCTCGGCGAGGCCAGCGCGAGCATTTCTGAAGCGTGCTGGAGCACCTCGGGCCATCTTGAGGAGGAGCATTTTTGCTCGAGCTTGGCATCGCTCGGACGTGTGCATTTGTTCTCGGCGAGAACCATCGAGGACCATCCTGGACCATCGAGCAAAACGTCCGACAAGAACACATGTCTGCCTTGATGTAATTGGGGGATTCGGGCCCTTTGCGGGCAGTTACTCTGCGAGTAGTGGAACGCGCTCGTCTACGTCTGCTCGAGACCAGACGTCGCACGGGGAGCGGATGTCCGAGCGATGGCGGGGCACGAGGTGCCTCTGCGGTGCATCCACAGCGCCTTCCGGGGCCCTCCCGCAGTGCGCCGACGAGGGGGCCTCCGAGGGCCAGCCTTAGGTCGGGCGTGCCCCTCTACAGGAGGAAATTCACAAAGAGGCAGAACATAGTCAGGGGACGATTTGTCTTCAGTATTTTTGAGCATGTTCTGGGTATGTTTAACTTTTCGTCCAAAATCTGCCCGTAGGGGGGCATGCCCGACCTAAGGCCAGCCTGCGGGCGTCAGGACTCTCCAGCACCCTCTGCTGGGCGAGGGGTCACGGCACTTTTTGGGGGCCACCGAAAGCAAGGCATTCAACACAACGCATCTCAAAATACGTTCAAAGCGAAGTTACGCAATGTCGCGCGAAGAGTACAACACATTTGACCAAGCCAGAGCCATGCCATGCACCTCGAAGGAAACTTCACTAGAGCGAAGCACCGGAATTTGCGCCATATCAAGCCAGTACTAAGTAACGCATCCCAGTGCACCGCAGGTCAATTCAGCGCAACACGATACTAATACTATGAAAGGCAAACGCTAAGCACTGCAGCGTAGCGTAATGCAATGCAAATTAACCCTAGGAGCGCAACGCAGAGCAAATTAAGCAATGCATTGCACCACAATGCAATTCATTGCAAAGCTATGCAATGCAAAGCATCGCAATGCAATGCAATAGACGAAGCCAGCGGAAATCAATGCAACGCGATGCAAACCCAATCACATCAATGCACCGACAATACGCTCAAAGCACACCCTCGCAGCTGGAATACAGCATTGTAATGCGATGCGTTATGAAGCGAACACACACCAACACACTCAATGCATTGCAAACTACTCCAATGAAGTCGGAGCGTCGCAAGCATGTAATGTGTTCAGCGTAACGCAACGCATAACAGCGCAATTCAGGTCAGCCCAACGCGGGTGACGCAGAGCAACGCAAGCACATCAATGGTATGCAACTTTACTCGCCGCAGTGCAGCTCAGCACAACACAGTACAATCAACATGATGAAAGCAAGCCATCACAATGCTCTGCAACAGAAAGCGAAGCAGACCAGCAGCCACCTTGAAGCCGTAACTCTCGACAGCTCTCTCCCTGTCCGCCCACAAGTGTCGTAGCACTTGGGTTCGTCCCTCCCGTGCGCCCAAAAGAGGGTAGTTAGCATGTTGCAGCTCAGCTGCTTCTACCCATGCCCTCACCGTGGGTGGCACTGGACTCACGCATCCAGCTCCGCTACCCGAGGCCGCACCGGGACGTCTCATTCGGATGATTTGGATGTTGACTTTGTTGTTGTTGGTGTTGTTGTTGTTGCTGCTGGTGTTGTTGTTGTTGGTGTTGTTGTTGTTGGTAGTGTTGTCGTTGTTGTTGTGTTGCTTGTTGTTGTAATTGTGGTTGTGGTTGTGGTTGTGGTTGTGGTTGTGGTTGTTGTTGTTGTTGTTGTTGTTGCTGTTGTTGTTGTTGTTGTTGTTGTTGTTGTTATTGTTGTTGTTGTTGTTGTTGTTGTTGTTGTTGTTGTTGTTGTTTTTGTTTTTGTTTTTGTTTGTTTGTTTGTTTGGAGGGGTGAAACCATGGATTTTGCCCCCCCCAGCGCGAACGCGGGTTGACTTCGATACGTTTGCTGCCCGTAGTATTGTTTCGCGGAGAGCGAAACTGACGGAAAAGGCCAGGACCCGGCACACATCAACGGTTGCAGAAGCGGCGGCGGATCTTCGCACGTTGCCATTATGGGATTCAGCACCCATGAGTTCACCTCACTTTCTTGCCTGTGCGCCAGCACAGACGCTTGATAGCCGCACTACTTTTGTGGCATCGATGCGTGTGCCCCCCTGAACGCTCACAAGGCACACCATTAACAGCGGACTTGGTTCTACGAAGTGAAGCGTACTGAGACGTCGATTGGCGTGATCTTTGCTGCCAGCCGCAGCATGCCGTCGGCTCCTCATGAGAGCGGGCACCGATTACCCCTTCGCGAAAGGGCGCAGAGGGCGTGGGTATGCGGGATGGGATGCGGGCTGCAACCATTGAGGGTGGAGGGTACGCCTGTCCGATGTCGTAGCCGAGTGCAGACGCAGCGGCAGAAATTGGGACAGGAAAGGGAAAGCAGGAAAGGGGCTAGAGTAATCTCGGATGCCTACATGCGAACGCTACCACCAACCTCGGGGCCGCCTTCACCGGGGCAAGATGACCTCCCGATCCGATGATGGTGGCCTTTTGCCTCCGGCCACGGAGGACACGCCACCACAAATATTGGGGTCAGTTCCCCCTCCGATCGTTTGTGGTGATTCCGAGTTCGGTCGTAGCGTCAACGTCTCTAGTGGCCTTCGGCCCACCCGCCGCCGTACCTGTGTCGTAAACAAGAGGCCTCGTGGATGCTTATTCGGGCATGTTGGGGGTTTTATGGTGGCCTCTCGGGGGCATATTCGGGGCCTTTTCGAGTTTCCTGAGGGCTTCTTGAAGTCCTGTGGGGGGCTCTTGGGGGGCCTTCTGGCTGTCTCGGGTGCCCTCTTGGAGTGGAAGGCTCCTAAACGGCAGGCCTGCGGGGGGGGCTGCTGGGCCTACTTTCAGAGGGGCCTGGAGAGCCAGGTTGGGCGGGTTTTGAGGGACCTCCCGGGTCGACATGGACGCTTTGAAGATCAAAACGCCGAGTGTGCGAAAGAAATTTGAATTTTTTGCACGTCTCAATGAGATGGGCGGTTTGCACCGCCTGAAGGGATGGGCTTGTTTTCCACCACCACCACCACCATAAGTACTAGGGGGAGGGGCTCCTCCTCCTCCTCCTCCTCCTCCTACTCCTCCTCCCCTTCGTCCTCCTCCTCCTCCTCCTCCTCCTCCTCCTCCTCCTCCTCATCCTCATCCTCCACCTCCTCCCCCCCTCCAACTTATGGTGGTGATGGTGGAGAACAGGCCCATCATGGAGGGGACTCCAAGGCCGCACCCGAGGCCTCTGGCAATGTCGGGCGAGAGGCCCCGAGGCCGCCCAGACGCGCCAGGGATTGCCCGCCGCTCAGCGGCACGGGCCCCCTTGCGGTAGGTTCGTGCGGCGTTGACGCGCTGGCGACGCCAGCGAAGGCGTTAGAGGTGGAATTCTGCGACGCGGATGCACCGATGGGCATGGTAATGCCATTGGACCCAGCTGGATTCAACCTTGCACAATCGGGGCCGCGATCGATTCAAGATTGAGCGATCGGCGCGGTGTCAGAAACCTTTGCGCGCGCCGACGCCGCACGAACCTACCGTACAGAGCATTTGGAGTGGTCAGTGCGCAGAACTCGAATGGACTTGCGGACAGTCCACGCGCTGCCCTGCGGCAGGGCAGCGGATAGCAGGCCTCGGACTCGGGTTGACAGGAGCTGGATATTTCAAGCAAGAAGCGGTTATCAACCAGTGCGGCCGTCCCTCCCCTTCGCCCCTCTCTGTTTGCTCCCTTTGTTCCGTGTCGACCGTCCTCTCATTTCTCGTTTGTCGTACGGTCTCCCTTCGTTCCACCTCTTGCTGCACATGCCAAGGTCAATGAGTCCTGCTCGAGTTGCAAGTTCAAGGTCACCAAAAAGGCGCGCTGCCCAAACATCATTGTTGCCACGCATGTTGCCACCCTTGCACGTATTATTGGGGAGTCCAGGTTGTGCCGGATGCTCACACGATGGGCTTACACATTGCAGGTTCCCAAGAAAGCATGATGTTGGTTGCGCGGGTAGCGCCAGCATGACTTCGAGCATGTCGTTTGGATTGCTTCATTTATCAAGTGCCACTGAATGGCCAGATCTCTCATCCATCCAGTATTGATTAGCCAACTCGTTGGAACTCTCCAGTTTATTTTGGACGGGTGCGCTCGGGAGAGTGCTGGTCTCTGCACCCTGGATGGTGCTGCAGGCTGCCAGAGCGTCCCTGTCTGATAGCGCTTCCTGTCTACACGACACTGAGTCAGATATCGAAATGAAAAATTGTGACGAGGAACATAAACAAATAATGGTGCAGTCCTGGCCCGCTGATGTTGGGCCTCTTTAGTCAGCCTGCTGCTTGTGGCGAGAGCAGTGTCCAGTATTTGCGACCGACAGGTGAATCTTGGCGGAGCGTTGGGCGATGGTGTGTGTTGCATGGTACTAATGTTGTTTAGTTATGTTCATGCCTTACTGTTTCTGCTGATGCAGCTACTCATGTAGCTGCAGCTGTGTTGCTGATTTCTTTCTGCCAGTTCTGATGATGTAGCTGCTGGTGCTGTTTTTTTTTCTGCTGCCGCGCCATCCAAGGCGTGCGCTCCTTCGTGACTAGAATATGGTACAGTCCAGATGCCTCTAAATGTACATGTTGCGACCTGGCCAGAGGCGTTGGCCAAATTACTTGCACACACCCGTGCGCGTCTGTACTCGCGTGCATTTGCTCAAGCCCAAACTCGGGTGAGCAGCTCACACATGCATGCAGTAGCTCGCGTGCATTTGCGCAAGCCCAAACTCGGGTGGGCAGCTTACACATGCATGCAGCAGCGCTGATAGCCGTTCCGTTCTTTGCATGTCTGTGTTCGTCCATCATACCGCAGAAGCTTCAGCGCGTGACCAAGAGTGCTCGCAGGACGCGTTTGGAACGAATGGGACGCGTGGGATGCACACTCCATTTCATGTGAATCGTTTGCGATACGTCCGATTCGTCACCCAGTGTGTGTGTGTGTGTGTGTTCATCTAGTAGACGCAGTACTTATGCACACAGGGTGCTTGTATCCAAGCGTCTGTGTGCACGCGGTTTGCGCAGATTCGCCGATGTATATTTTCAGCCATGCATGTAGTGCATAGGCTCACGCGCTCAATTACCGGCACAACTATTCTGGCACACGCACCTGTAGGGTGCAATTTGCGACGCACGTCACCCCTCGTCAGCCGATGAAAATTTTACGATTGCCTTTGGCATCAGGGGTATTTGCAGCTCTGTTGTTTCGATCAGCGTCCATTGCAGAATGACTCGCCTCGACGCTCACAGTCTCAACAAAACAAACTCGACCAGAGGCATTGTTTCCGTCACCGTGTGCGGAATATTCTCGGGAATGTTTTGCCGAGGGGATCCAGTGACGGCGGGCGTCGCGAGGAGCCCGTTGACAGCGTGGGATTGCCCCGATTCGGGCAGCCCAAGAATACGATACGAGCAAATCGTCCCAGAGCGCTCCAGAACCTTCTGGAGAGGCCGCGATGCCCGATTCTGACCGGCAGCCTTGAGAGATCCCCGAGGTGTCCGTACCCGATGTTTGTTCGCATAGTCAAGGCGTTGACAAAAGAAACAGCGGACTGGGCTCAGTGTTCCTTGGGCTCTTCCTTGGTTGCCCCTCTGGCGCTTCAGGTGCACCCAGGCGTTTTTTGGGGGTCGAATAGGAGCTTCGTTCCATATCTAGGGTCCCTTATGGCTGTGATTTGACTGTGCCCGAGGTTGGGACGTACCTTGCCCTCTTCTCCACCGTGGCCACTGGATGCGAAGGGCTCCGCCCGCCTTCCTTTCGCCGTGTTCAGGACTCTATCCACGTGCCGCTTTTGCTGTAATATATTTTCGTGGGGGCGCATCGGAGGCCTAGAGGTTCACACCAGCACCAGTATCGGCGGTGTGCCTCCACCGATGGAAGATGAGCCCGATCTCGGTGATGGTGGCAATGTGTGGGCTTCTTATGTGGCCGGAATACTGCCACCAACACCAAAATCTTGGATCATCCTCTCGCGGTGGAGGCAACCCTCTGTGCTGGCGTGGATGTTCACCTCCAAGCCTCCCAGTGTAAGTGTTTTGCCCCCTCCCCCATGCCGTGCCCTGGCCCTGGCGTCCGCCCCAGCGGCGTGCAGGAGGCCGAGAGGCTGACGAAGCTCGAGAGGACCGCGCACCTCGCCGGCCCCGCCCAGCGGAGCTGGCGGGCGACGCGTCGCGGGCCCGGTCTGTCTGCACGCATGAAATGGGAACAGAAAGAATGGGTACAATGCCCAACAGCAGTCCTTGTTCATTCTGAACAGGGCTCGCTGTCCGCGCCGCCGCGGCCTGTGTCCATTCGAGACAGGAGGCCGCCCGCCCAGCAGCGGCCGCTGTCGGTTTGGGACAACATTTGCTGTTGGGCATTGTACCCATTTTGTCCGTGCCCATTTCGGGCGTCCAAAGTCTGGGGGGAGGCGGCTGGCGGGAGGAGAAGCAGCGGGGGCGAGGAGGCCAGGGCAGCTCGACCGACGGGGAAGCGGAGTGGCGCAGGGTGCGATCTCTTGTTTTGTGTTGCGTATGTGAGTGGCTTTAATATTACATGCGTGCATTTACGCATGTGGCTATGTGTTAGCCGGCGTAGGCCCCACAAGGTGTCTTCTTGGCAACATATGTGGTGTGCGATCCATGTGAGGCAGTAAGTGTGTTGCAATATAGGCGGTGCAGTCCATGTCGTGCAATCAATGTTGGGCACTATATGGTGTGTAATGTATGTTGTGCACCCTACGTGGTGCAGCCTATGTGGCGCGCAACCATACGGTGCAATCAACGCGGTGCAGCATGAAGCTGTGCAATGCTTGTGGTACAATCTACGTGGTGCAACCTAGAAATGCAAAGCAGACGATGGGCGGCGACAAGGCGACGACATTTCGCTCTGTCTTTCTATGTTTGCTTCACTCTCTCGTCATATATGTATATACATGTATATTACGTAAGCTTCTCCCTTTTTAACATATATTTCTGTATTTGTGTATATCATAGATACAAATATGTATTTACATATGTTTGCTTCCCTCTCTCGTTATAGTACATACACACATATATATATATATATACACACGTATGTGTATGTATCAATTTCTTTTTTTGACACATATTTCTCTATCTATGTCTATATCCTTCCCTGCCCGCCCGTGAATCGTCGCACCTTTGGAGCCGTTGCGGATGTTCGTTCGCAGGGGGAGGTTGACTCCGGAGCTCGAGCCAGAGCGGACGGCTCGTCTTCGTAATGATACTTGGGCTTTGGGCTCCTTCCCCGACCAGTGGACCCAGAGTGGACCCTGGGCTTTGATAGTGACACCCAGAGTGGACGGCATCTTCCCCCACCACCTCCCCCCAACAGTTGGGCTTTGGGCTCCTGGCTGACGCCGGCTGCCACGGCTTGTCCGTCGATTGCAGTTCTTCCTTCGTTGGCCATCGTTGGTGTCGTCGCTGTCGTCCTCTTTGCACCCGTCGTCCAGTCGGTTTCGCTCTCGCACCCACATGCTCGCAGACAAACGCTCCCAGCGAAACGTGGCATGGATTTTGAGCCCTCCTGGGGCGACCATCCTCTCGAGCAGTTTTGGGCCATCTTGGGTCGTTTGGGGTTCATGTTGGTTATCTTGGAAGCCGTCTTGGAGGCCATTTCGGCCGTTTGGAGGCTGAAAATATTATTCTCACCAGCCTCGAACTTATCCCTATCCCTAAGATTGACACGCCCAAAGGCGATGGCAGTCTTAGGGATGCGCCCTGAAAAACTAAGGGAGTCCCTAAGATTGGCATTGTAATGATGCGGTGCCCAGCTTAGGGATAGGGATATGTTCCAGTCTGGTAATATTCGGGAGCAAATTCAGAGGGTTTTTTTCTTGGGGGGGGCGCGCTTCGCCGGCTGGGGGGGCCAGCACTAGAGAGCATGTCGAAGCATCGACCAGCTAAGGAAAGAGCATGCTACCATTTCGTGCGGGCACGGCGGCGGATTCATCATTTGAGCTGCGGCAGTCTTCAGAGTGGAACGAAGGGTATACCCGAAACGTCACCAGTCGCGAGCCGAGAGCTTCCCCTAGAAGAAAACGGATCACCCGATGGGGTTCCGATATGTAAGAGATGGGTATGGGGGCGACGGGGCGAAAGGAGAGACGGAGGACAAGATGGGAACATGAGGAAATACGAAGGAGGAGGAGGAATGGGAGGAAGAGGAAGAGAGGAGGCGGAGGAGGAGGAGGAGATCGCCGGGAAGAACGAAGGGGAGGGCAACGGGAAGAGAAAGAGTTCCGAATAATGAGCGAGGAGGGTGAAGGAAGGAAACGGATATTGGCGAAGACGTGGGACGCAGAGGAGGAAGGGGATGTGCAGGAAGAGGCGTAACGGCCCCAGAGGGGTCCAAGGCCAGGCGGAGTTGTCCGAAGTCGCGCGGTGGCGGGTAGTAAAGTCGACCAGTGCAGCCTGGACGCAGCCGTCGTGGTCAGGATGTCCTAGCATCTTTGTCTGTCTGGAACATCCTCACTAACTCGGCCCCTGATCTATTCTCCTCAGCGCTGCCTGTCCAGCGCACCAGTCATGCATTGTTACAATGCGTCAGGTCTCAAGGTTGCCAGTGTGTTCGATGGCAATATGTGGAGTATGTTCGGTCGGTCGGTGGCAAGGGCTTGTGTAGGTCACCATGGGAAGGACCTTCTTCCCTTGTTACTTCTTTCCCTCAATTATTGACGCCTCGCGTATCTCCACCAGTTACGTTCCCAGGTCGGCTCTAATGAGGATCATTTTGTCCCTCGCACGTGCATTGCGGCGTTGGCCTATGTGCCTTCGTTGCCAATCGTCTCGCGTTGCGCCCCTGTCGAGATTGACCCGCTCTCTGGAAGCGTCCTTGGAGCCGCGGATCAAAAAAGTATCTCCACCAGCCCATCCAGGAGCAATTGCCAGGGGAGTTGTTCGAATGAGGGCAGCGTAGCAGCATGCAGTGGAAGGGGCCGCCGTGGAAGCGTGTTGGGGGGCGCAGAAGCGGTGGGAGCACATGTGGGACTGTATAACAAATTTTCCCAGGCTGCTGCGCTTGACGACTTGCTTCTGCTGGGATGATTTCTTGACGTCTTATTGTACACTTGTTTTCTTCTGTATAGAGTCCTCCCCATCTCTCAAGTCCTCCCCAACTCCTGTTTTCCTCTCAGTAGAACCCATCCCAATTCCCAAATCCCTCCAAGGTCTTGCTTTCCTCTCTCAATTCGTACATCCTTTCCAACTCGTGCTTTCTTCTTCGTAGAATCCCTCCAAATCCCAAACCCTTCCCAACTCTTGCTATTTTCTTTGTGGAATCCTTCCCAACTCCCAAATTCTTCCCAACTCTTGGTCTTTCTGTGTCGAATCCTTCCCTACTCCAAACCCCCACCAAACATATCCCATCCGTAAAGTCACGCACGCCCATTACATTACCGAATTAATGCTGTAATATTAGATGCCGCAGCAGTATTGCTCTACGGCTTGAAGGTTTCTTGGGCACCTGATTTTTCTTGCATCCAGGACCGGTAGGAGTGAAATGCATTAGTATGCAACAGAACGGTTGCCTTGGAAGGGCGCGGGGACCTAGATCAGGGAAGTGTGGACGCATGCGGTGTAATAATCGTCTTGGAAGCGTTCTCTCAGAGGTCTATTTGAGCCATTTTGGGGCTCTCTTGGGGTCCACGCGGGGCCTTTCGGGGCACATTTGAGGCTCTCTTGGGGCTCTCTTGGGGCCTTCTTTTTGGCCCTCTTGGGGCCTCTTGAGGCCATCTTGGTCCCCACGAGTCCGAAAGAGGGGCGTCCGGAATTCAGGTCCCCACCTCGGAGGCTCAACAATTCTTGGACCTCTCTTGGGGCTCTCCTGGGCCGTCTTGGGGCCATCTGGAGGCCTCCGACGAGGCCCATCGGAAGCGAAAAGGTGAGAGGGAAAAACACTTTGATTTTCTTTGGGTTTTGAAGGCATTGTGGCCTCTTGGGGAGGTCTTTGGCGGATTCGAAGGGCACTGGACACCGTCTTTGGGCCATCTGGAGGCGTCTTCGAGGCATCTCGGAGGCTATCTTGAAACATGTTTGGCTATATTGGGCCATCTGGGAGGTCATCTTGGGCTCTCTGAGGCCTCTTGGAGCAATCTTGGACCATCTTGGGCGCTCTGACCGCTCTGTCCCCCCCCACTTCCCAGGCCCAGGGGAGGGGGTAGGGGGAGGGGTCGAGGCCCCCCCTCAGGCCGCAAGCCGTCTCGCTCACTCCCACCCGCCCTCCCAACACATAAGTAGTACCCGAGTCTCAGCACATCGCCGGGGAGCGCCACGCATGCCATGTGCGCCACGGGTTCAGGTGCACCAAGCACCCTGGAGGTCCAAGCGTGCGAGGCGCGGCAATTGCGGTACGTGCTCCACGAGCGCCAAGTGCGCCATGTGTTCCGGCCGCGCCACGTGCGCCACGTGCTCGGCGCGCGCAGTGCGTGCGAGGTGCGCCATTGCACGGCCCTCGCCGGGTGGATTCTGAGTTGTCTTCTGACAGGGGATGGCTGGCTTGCGCGCGTCAGGCAATGTGCCGGCACCCCCGCCATCTTTTTTTTTGAAGCCAGCGCAACGTGGTCGTGGGGCGCCCGCCGAATGGTCCCGGGGCGGCCGCGCATGCTCCGGATTTGGAGGCAAAGTTGATTCTGTATGGTTTTTCGGCAGGGACGGTCGGCTTGCGCGCACCTTGTGCGCAACAAGCAGCATGCGCGCTCTTCCGCAGTCCCCGTCAAAAACCAACACAGAGTGGGCGCGGGGCGCCCGCGAATGCTCAAGATTTGGAGGCAGAGAGCACTTGTATTGTTTTTGTGGCACGAATCGTGGAGGGGGGAGGGGCATGTCCCGGATTTGCCCACAGTCGGATGGGGGAGGGGGTGTTTACTAGTAAGGAGCAGTGATCAACCCTGTCCCCGAGGAGTGAAATGAGGGAGCTTTGGCAGAGAGAAGGCAGAACCCGTTCAAGCACTTACGCCCAGAGGGTTGGTGGGAGTGGAGAAGGAGAAGCAGGAGGGGGACAATGCGAGACTCGAGTAACCAATCGAAGCTGACCTCAGGCAATCACGGGCAGCCCACGCTTGGAGGGAGGAGGAGGAAGAACAGAGAAGCAGGATCAGCAGGAGCGGGAGGATATGGACAGGAGCCAGAAAGGTAAACCAGACGGCGGGGGAGGAGTGTTTCCTCGATCGTTCCATCGATCCAGTTCCCTCGATCCGTTCGCTCACCCCGGGCATGGGTCTCTTTACGAGAAGCGTCTGCCGCTACGTAGCGCGCGCAGACGAGGCCAGGGCTTCTCGAAGCGTCTCCGTTGGGTGGTCAAATCGGCTGACGTCGTACGGCCACCAGGGCTCAGTCATACCAAAGAGCTGTGTCTGTTATCCTGTGCGCGTCGGTGCGTCTGGCTCCTATTTGGTTTTCTGCGTTGGATGAGAAGCCCTGCCCCCTCTCAAAGGTGTTAGTTTGTCTTGGTTTAGCGTGCGTTGCGGGGTACTGGTTCGTGCTGTCTGCGTCCCCGTCCGGGAGGACTTTGCGAGTCTCCATCGACAAATACGCGGAGCAGAAGAGAGCAGACGAGGCAGCCGAAGCCTGGGGCAGGTTATTTCAGAGGAGATAGGGGGAGAATGAGAGAGAGAGAGAGATCGAAACAGCGGTTCCGCGCTGAAGTACCAAAGAATACAAGTCTCACCACAAATTATATTTTCCAGCTGCAGTTCACCCTACAGCTTATTGGTTGAACAGCTATTCGGCCGCAGAAGGTTGCAGAGCCACGTGCCAACAACATGTTTCGAATAGTAGTTTCCTAGCGTTCATACCCAGAGAATGTTGTTCATCTTCTGGCTAACACAACGCCTGGCCACCGCACCCAGACTATCTGACCCACTCTTGTGAAACAATTTCCACGACTTGCAACACGACTTCGACTGGTATGAGAGTGCTGGAGCCGCTTTGGATCAGTCTTGTGCTGTGTTGAAGCCGTTTTGGGTGTGTGGGGTCACTTCGATGCTCCAGGGCCTCCAGAAAGCCCGAAGATCCCCCCCCCTTCGGGCGTGCCGAGGCCCTCTGCATGCCATCTGGGGATACCAAGACTGACACGGCAAGTTGTTGTCGTGTGTGTCTTTCCACCAGCATCTGGCTCAATGCGTTTAGCCTCTCTGTGACGGGGGGGGGGCTCTCGGGGTTCGGAAGCAACGGACAGGGTATTTGGGCCGTCCTGGGGCTTTGTGCCGAATTGGGCGCCATAAGCCTCGATACGCCGTCTTGGGCTGCCTTGGCTCGGTTCTAGATCGTCTTGGGGACACTCGTGAGGCTTCGGAGGCCCTGTTGGGAGCGAGAGGGGGGTGTCAGCACAGAAGATCCTGAGGTTATGGAGACTGCGTGGTCAGCATTGCTGCCGAAAGGGCCACAGTGGCCTGTGAACCGAAGAGGTCTACAATCAAAGAGCTGAGGCAATGACTGCTTGAGGCTCGGGAGAGCCTGGTTTGGTCGGCCGTTCCCTGTGTCAAGGTCGTGGAGTCGATCTGTGGCCGAGGCTCCCTGTGGCCAGGAGAGCCCCTTGATTTTTCATTCTGCGGTCATGATGGCAGCATGGCGGCCGTGTGAACTTGGCATCGCTCGGACGTGTGCATTTTTTCTCTGCGAGAATCATCGAGGACCATCCTGGACCATCGAGCAAAAAAACACACGAAACCGAAAAATGCACGGGAAATGGACGTCCGAGCGATGGCAGGTGAAGAGTTTCTTCGTATCTGCCCACCTGTTGGCTTTCGCCTGTTGTGCTCAATTTGCGATCCCGAGGCCTGGTTAGCCGCTTCGACCGCATCGAGCGTCCGCGCGGAATGGTGGAGACGCGCGTGAATGCCAGAGATGCCACTGCCAGGCCAGAAGCTCAAATTGAGTGTGGGTTCTTCATTGATTTTGCTCTCGGGGGCCTCTTCGGAGCCTCATGGGGCCTCTCCAGAGCCTGCCGGAATCGCTTTGGAGCACGTAGAGGCATGTCTGGTACGGCGGCCGCCGTATGCGAAATTTGGGATCGCATTGGAGCTCTCTTGGAGTGATCTGGGAATCTCTTGGGGCCGTTCCTGGCCCTTCTGGGGCGAGTCGGAAGCCGTCTGGGGCCGTTGGGGCCGCTCCTTGGCCCGTCGTGCGGCGCCGCGTGCGCCTCCGAGGCCGTGAGCACGGCGTCGTTGGCCATCTCGGAGGCCGGGTGCGCGTCCGCGAAGCCACGGTACCTCAGACACGCGGATTAGTTTAGTCGCCGATGTCCGTCCAAGTTCGTGAGGGCACCCCGAAGAGGCTCTGGCCATGCTCTCGAGGCCACATTTGGCCATCGCAGCAGGGTGATGTCATCGAGCCCGCTGTGGAGGTATTGCGTCTCGTGCCGTCTTGCATCTTCGCTTTGCTCAATCGTCGAACCAGAATGAGCTGCTCGGCTGCCAGGTCCACAGAATCCCGTCCTTCCCTTTTCTCCCTGCCGCCTGCCTCCTCTTCATGCTGTTGCTAATGTTCATGCGATGCGCCGCTGCGCCTCTGCCGCTGGTCAAAGCGTGCAGGTTCGCCGGCCTTCACAACACAGCATCATGTTGTGGTGGAGTTGTGGTTTGTGGCCGGCTAGATCTCCCAAGATACACAACGCGGTTCGGGCCCGAGGTTCGTAGCGTTTGAGAAGCGACCCAAAGACAATGTAGCCTTGTGGGGCGCGTGATGAGAGGGCGGTGCATGCCATCGCCAGGATGTTCTTGGTCAGCAGCGGGATCGGCATTTTGTTCGACATTGGACTCTTGCAGCTTCGTGACATCATGTCTATGAAGCTGGTGAGCTTGATAAATATACATGAGCCTCAACTTTTTGTGTAGATTGTCCAGGAGGCCTGAAGTAGATGTCGTTGTCTTACAGCTTGCAGCCCCCCCCTTCCACGTACCGTTCCTCCTTCAACGCGGCTTGTTGCTGCTCTTTCGATCATGAAAGCTTTCGAGAGCGGTGCAATCGAGCAGCTATGACATCACCGCTTTCATAGCTGCTCTTTCGATCTACACTCGGTCTCGGACGCTTTCATAGATGTTCCGTGCTCTTTCATAGATGCTCCTTCAACGCGGCTTGTTGCTGCTTGGTGCACGGAGCATCCATGAAAGCGTCCGAGATCGCGTGTACGGTTTCGTTCCTTCTCGCAAGCTCCCGTCAGATCTAGCGCGCGAGACCGGGCTCGTGTGCTGGCAGGTTTTCCGATGGAACCGAAAGCATGTCCAGACCGTTTCTCCCTCATTAGTCATCGCTGTTTTTCGGGATCCTTATCATTCCCATCCGCATCGTTACCATCACCATCATCATCATCATCATCATCATCAGCATCATCGTCGTCATCAACATCATCAGCATCATTATCATCGTCGTCGTCGTCATCATCTTCCTCCTCCGACCTCATTCCCACAATCTTCCTCCTTTCCCTCTCCCCCCGACCCGCTCTTACTGCTCCTCCTTTTCCACCTCCTCCTCCGACCTCCTTCCCATCGTCTCCTTCCTTTCCCTCCTCCCCCGACCCGCTCTTACTGCTCCTCCGCTTTCTCTTCCTCATCTTCCCTGCGCTCCACCTGCTGATCATCCTGCTGCTTCTTCTCGCTTGCTGTCATTCGAGGCGGTGGCTCTGAAGTCGTTCAGAGCGACCGAGGAGATCATCGACGCATCGTTTTTTCAGGACGCACGCGTGGGTTGTTTGATGGGGAAGTTGCGGGAGGAAGAGGATGAACGCGAGGACGATTATGACGGTTATGATGATGCTGACGATGATGATGTGTAAGAAGAATGATGATGATGAGAATGATGATGATATTGATGATGATGATGAGGATGATGATGGCGGTGAAGATGGAGATGGTTATGGTGATGTTGATGCTGATGATGCTGAGGAGGAGTATGGGGAGGAGGAGAAAGAGGATTGTGACGATGTCCCTTCCAAGTGTCCCATGTCCCCGTCTGGACATATTGTTGGGTCGGGGCAGCTTGATTATGAGAGGATGGCGTTTTCCTCCCGCTGTTCTTTCTTATCCTTCTGCTCGTTATTTGCTCATGTTCCCACTCCTGCTCCTCCTGCCCATGCTGCTGATACACATGATGCCGATGGTGCTGATGATGCTGATCATGATGAATATGATGATGCTGGCAATACCGATGATGACGGCGAAGACGCTGGTGGTGGTGACAATGTTGTTGCTGATGATGTTGTTGATGATGGTGATGCTGATGATGATGATGATGACGATGATGATGATACTGATGATGGTGCTGATGCCAGCGATGCTGATACTGATGATGATGTTGATGGTGGTGGTGCTAGTGATGATGACGCTGATGATGATTATGATGGTGATATGATATTAATGCTGGTGCTGATGCTGCTAATGATGCTGATGCTGATGCTGATGCTGCGGGCGATGACGATGTTGTCGCTGTTGATAATGATGATGAGGATTATGATGATGCTGATGATCATGATGCTGATGCTGATGACGATGACGATGATGATGACGATGACGATGACGTTGCCGATCATGCTGATGATATTGTTGACGATGATGGTAATGGTGGTGGTGATGGTGACGATGTCGGCGATGCTGATGCTGATGCTGATGATGGATGCAAGTATTGTGGTGAGGATGTTGGTGTTGTGAGGACGGCGACTGTGATTTAATTGCTTATGGAGAACGCGACGACTATGCCAGAGACGGCGATGATCTGGATGAACACGGTGATCACGCGTGTCACGATTTTCACGTTGATTACGGTAACGAGGGTTCTGTTGATGCTGATGATGGCGGTGGTGAAACAAATCGTGGTTACGATGATAATGATGATGCTGAAGCGGACAGAAAAGGAGAGTTGGATGCGGAGGGTAGGGTAGGGGAGGGACTTGTGGAGTGGAGCAAGGGGAGTGGGAGGGGATGGAGACAGGGGAGGGGGCGGGGGGTCAGGAAGGGGGATAAGGTAGGGACGGGGCAGGGAGGCGGGGCTGGGCTGGCGGAGGGCGAGAGTGGGGAGGCACATGGGGAGCCGATACAGTGGAACCCCGTGCCTAGAAACACCCTGCGTGCCACCAGGGTGCCCTGGGCTTCTTGGCTCTCGATGGTGTTGCTGTGGAGAGCGCGGCGCTCCCGCACCAAAAATCAATGGACCTCCTGGGGTCTCAGGGTTGGGCTTCTCGTGGAAGATTTCTTGTGGACCGGCCTCCACTGTGTTTGGCCTGCTCGATCGCCAGCACGCGCTGGCCGACCTCATGTGGGAGAAGCTTGCGGACTACTACGCCCAGCACCAGCGGCACTCCCCCGGGGCTGCCGCGCCTCTCTCTCCGGCGTGCGGCCTCCCGCCCCGACGTCCTCCTCCTCCTCCTCCTCCTCCTCCTCCTCCTCCTCCTCCTCCTCCTCCTCCTCCTCCTCCTCCTCCCCTCTCGTCCTTCTGCACGAACGAGATGGGCGCGGAAAGAAAGGGCACAATGCCCAACCGCGGATCTTGTTCATGTTGAGCAGGACTCGCTCTCCACGCCGCCGCGGCCTGGGTCCATTCGAGACAGAAGGCCGCCTGCCCAACAGCGGCCGCTGTTGGTTTGGGACAACATGTGCTGTTGGGCATTGTACCTATTCTTTCCGTACCCATCTCGGGCGTCCAAAGTCCTCCCTCCAGCGCCCGGCGACCGCACCTCGGAGCGGACGCCCCCGCTTGGCAGCTGGTCGATTCTCGGGCCCCGCAGTCTCTGTCTCTCTCTTGTCACTCGCTGACGACGGCGTTGAGCCTGTGAACGAGGCTGCGCACGGCGAACCCGTCCCCCATCGGCCCCCCAGATCCAGGCTTGAGTGCGACGTCCCTACCGCACCCCACAAGAGTACACGCCGGTCGTTGAAAGTAGGTATTTTTGGACTCCCAGTTCCCAATCTATTTCAAGCGCCTTCCTACTTCAAGAATCGACACGCTTTTGCTCTGTTTTGTTATTCCCTGGGGGGGCCTGGACCCAATCAAGTTAATCCGCCTTCCTACTTCATATTTTTACCTACTTCTTCCGACCGACGTGTAGTTCTAGCTCGTTGAAAGCGCGGACGTCCAAACGACTCAAAGCCAGGAATCATGACTATGATTCATAGCACTGCGCATGCACCACCAGCTGCTGGACGCAAGCGCGTTGGCAAAGTCGTGACAGTGGGTGATGTGAGACATACTAGAGCGCTGCAAATGGAAACTTGCAACGTGCTGGACCAGCAGAGCTTCTTCGCGCCGATGGCACGGGACAGAACCATGATCTACATACGAGTATTGCCGGGGACCCCGTTGACCCATAAGCCCAGACATCCATAGCTTCCCAGGAGGGTCCAGGAGATGAATCCAACGCGTGCGATGAACTTTTCGAGGAAGGGGAACGCCACGACTGCGATGCTATGGCACTGGTGTAAGACGGCAACTTCGGATCCTCTGGCGCCCCGCTTTCAAGACGTTCCAGAAACCTTCAGGGGCAGGTGGTCGGATTGGGCCGCGTAGTCCTCGCCCTCGCATGTTGAGCCTCCGTTGTGGGCGCAAGAGAAGTCACCAGATTTCCAAAGGCGGAGCCCATTCTGGAACAGCGCGCCATTCACCTGCACGAAGTAGCCCCTTCCGAATTCCTTTCACATCAGGATACGCACTGCGCTTATCGTCACTACCGATATCCCTGACCCCAGGAGCAGCATGCTGTCAAACATCACGGAACCAGCCTCAACAAAGTCCCGCCAGTGTGATCCACCTCAGGGACATCATCAAGGCATCATAGTCCCAGTCCACCGTCTTCTGTATCGTAGTAACAGATCCCCTAGGCGAAGCACGCATGGCACATATGCATGCACAAGAAGGCGATCCAAAAGACCTCTGCGTCGGCACAGCTGCAAACTGCGACTCGGACGACGCAGCGGGCCAGCACTCCGAAGCACAGGAGTGCGCGGGCGCGGCAAGGCCACCATGCCAACGAAGCTGGTGGAGCCGCGCGGGCCAGAGAAGGCCGGGGCGAAGCCTTCGATCTGCAGGTCGTGCACCGCGAGGAGCCGAGAGAAGCGAGGCCCGACCCCGAAACCCTTGGTGCCGTTCTCCACAGCAGTCGCGCGAAGTTCATCACACGCCCACTCCGGACCCTCTCTGTGGAGCCCGATCCCATCATGCAGGTCAGCACAGACAACAAGTGCAGATCGACTCGGGGTAATAGAGAGCTCCTGAGTTGCACGCTCCAGAAGCCGAGAACAAGTAGATTCAGAGGCTGCCCATGCCGCTGCCGTGAGCGGACGAGGTGGGAAATAAAGAGCCAGTGCAGTAATATCTAGGATCCCGTTTCGAGCCCGACAGGCCAACCCACGTCCCTGGAATAGGAGCAGCGGCAGCAGCGCATCTCACGAGGTGTTCAGAGCGAGCTCGAGGACTAAAGACAATGGCACAGCCACCTGCACGCGTAGCATGCTCAGGCAGGGCCCGCCCAGCTTCCGCGAGCACGCGACCACAGAGGAGCCTCCGCCGCGGAGGGCAGCCTGGCGTGGCCTTCTGCTGAGTGCCGACCAGCGCGAGGGCATCGAACTTCGGGGCCGAGTCCACGACGTCCTCGTGGCGGTCGCGGGGCGACGGCGGGGCGACGCAGCGACCGCGAGGAGCGAAGGGGCAGGCGAGGTGCTGTGGGAAGAGCCTCCGCGCGGCCATGCCCCTGCAAGACCTGACCCGCATGGCTGCGAGGGGGAAGGGGGAGGAGGACGAGAGGCAAGGAGGAGGGCGCGGGGGAACATGCCGAGGCCAGCCTTGATCGCGAGCGGCACCGGCCGAGCCCAGGTCTGATTGCGAGGGGGTGCGAGTGGAGGAGGGGGGCAGGCAGGAGCAGGATGAGGATGAGGATGAGGATGAGGATGAGGATGAGGATGAGGAAGAGGATGAGGATGAGGATGATGGTGATGGTGATGCTGATGCTGATGATGATGATGATGATGATGATGATGATGATGATGATGATGATGATGATGATGATGATGATGATGATGATGATGCTGATGATGATGATGATGATGATGCTGCCGCTGCCGCTGCCTGCTGCTGCTGCTGATGATGCTGATGCTGATGCTGATGCTGATGCTGATGCTGATGCTGATGCTGATGCTGATGCTGATGCTGATGCGATGCTGATGCTGATGCTGATGCTGATGCTGATGCTGATGATGATGATGATGATGATGATGATGAGGAGGAGGAGGAGGAGGAGGAGGAGGAGGAGGAGGAGGAAGAGGAGGAGGGGGAGGAGGAGAAGGAGAAGGAGGAGGAGGAGGAGGAGGAGGAGGAGGCGGAGGAGGAGAGGAGGAGGAGAGGAGGAGGGGAGGGGGAGAGGCCGATTGATCGATCCTGGGAACTCCTCCTCCTCTCCTCCTCTCCTCCTACTCCTACTCCTACTCCTCCTGCTCCTGCTCTCCTCCTCCTCCTCCTCCTCTCTCCTCCTCCTCCTCCTCCTCCTCCCTCCTCCTCCTCCCCCCCCTCCCCTCCTCCTCCTCCTCCTCCTCCTCCTCCTCCTCCTCCTCCTCCTCCTCTTCCTCATTCTACCAGCCCTCGTCGGTCACTTCTCCGCCGCCCCCCCCCGGGGCGCGGGCAGGTCCAGCGACCACCGGCGGCTGCTGGAGCGCCGGTGCGCCTTCCACGAAGCGGCGTACCCAGGGCGCGCCGTGGGTGGGTGGTGTCTGTTCCTCCCTCCTCCCCCCCCTCGCGCGCAGGGCCAAAAGTTTATGTTTATGCCGTTGCTCTTCTTTCACAAAAGGTGGCACCAACGCCCCAGTCGGCTTTCCGTGGGGCCGAGTTGCGGCCTGGAAGCTGCTTTGGTTGGGGACCAGGCTGCCTGATCTGTTCGCTACGGTGGAGGCGCTTGCAGCGTGACGCCCGATCGGCCCAGGGACAGTCCTGATACGGAGCGCAGGGGTATACGGAGCGCAGGGGTATGTGCATGTACCCTATCTCTACCCATCCTCCTGGGGCGCTCTTTGGGTCCTCTTCCACTTTAGCAGCCTTGGGCCGCCTTGGATGCTTCTTGGACCATCGTGGAGTCCTCTCGGGCCGTCTTCAGCTGACGGCAGCCCGAACAGGCGAGAATGCGAATATCATTCAACGGCCGAAGAGAAATCTATGATTTTGGTTTCTTCGGACCCTGTTGGAGGTCCTCTTGTGGCCCACTTGTGGCCATGCTGGCCCTCTTGGGCCTTGTTGAATCAATATTCGGCCGCCTTGGGGCCATCCTGGGCTGTCTTCGATGCATCTTGGGCCATCTTGGTGTCCTCGGTTGCCCGCACGGACCGTCTTGGAAGCTCGGGACGCGCATCCCTCGTTTTCAACGGGGGATCGGTCCTTGGGATGCCCTGGAGCGCTTGGTGGCAGCGGCTGGGAGTGCTGGAAGTGCACGATCCTCGAGCGGGTGCGCGTGGGATGAGGGGTCTGGGAGTTATCAGCCATGCGGGAGGTGCACAATCCTCGAGCTGGCGCGCGTGAAATGAGCGTTCAGGCTTAGTTGCCATGCGGGCGCTGCACCATTCTCGAGCGGGCACGCGTGGAATGGGGTTTCGGCCTTAGCTGCCATGCTGAGAGTGCACCATCCTCGAGCGGGCACGAGGGGAGTGTGAAGCCGGGCATGTCCCTCCACAGGAGGAAAGCTCAAAAATAGTAACAAATGTTCTGGGGACGATGTTTGATTTAGTTTTGAATGTGTTTGAATTTCTTTTACTAGGTTAATTTACTATGTTTAATGTCTCGTCCAAAATCCCCCTGGTGGGAGGACAGGCCCGACCTAAGGGAAGTAGCCTTGATGAGCAGGGGGGGGGGGGACGCAGCAGTCCGCGGGCAGAGGCAGAGGGGGGCCCTTCTTTTTTTTTTAGAGCTCGGCAGCCTCCTCCTCCGCCTCCTCCTCCCCTCCCCCTCCTCCCCCTCCTCCTCCCCCTCCTCCTCCTCCTCTTTCTCCTCCTCCTCCTCCTCCTCCTCCTCCTCCTCCTCCTCCTCCTCCTTCTCCTCCTCCAGGCCCCCTGGCATCCTGCCGCGCCTCCACGTGCCAGGAGGCCCCGGTGGCGGAAGGGGGCGCCCGTCGACCACGACGCCCCGAAAGAGGCAGGGAAGGTTGAGCTGCCCCCACGCCTGCCCAGGATCACGCGAGCGCTCGAGTGCCAGGATCCGCAGAGGGGGTTCCCTTTCTTTGTAGAACTCGGCAGATCCTGCCCGACAGCCCCTGACATTCTGCCGCGCCTCAGCGTGCCAGGAGACCCAGTGGCGGAAGGGGGCGCCCGTCGACCATCGGGGGCGGCAAAGAGGGGGGTGACGACCAGGGAGGGGTGGATGTCATGGCGGGGGCCATGATATCTCCCCAGATCTCATGGCGCCTCTTCTGATTTCGTTACGTCCCTGGCCCCCCGCTGGGCCGCGCACATGCCGCCGGTCATGATTTGCCCCCCCCCCCCCCCCCCTCTTGGACAGCCCCCTCTTGGCCGCTCCCGAAACCACGACACCCCGAAATAAGCAGAGAAGGTTGAACTGCCCCACGCCTGCCCAGGGTCACGCAAGTGCTTGAGTGCCAGGAGCGTGCGAGGCAAGCGTTCAGCAGCTCTGCGGGGAGTCCTGAGGACGCCTACCGCTCCACTGGTGTTGCGGAGCAGCACCCGCGTGGCGCCACCATGGATGACGTCCGTGAAAGCGGCGATTTGGCAAGCATCGGATGCACGCTCGCCGACGCGTTCATGGAAGTCCTGTAGAGGTAGCTTTGACAGGAGGGCAAGCTCCTCCTGAACCAAACGTGCAGTCAGGGTCGCCTGCTGAAGGGTCGTCAGATCTACTATCTTTTGTCGTGCAGTCATACCAGCTGGCCGCGGGGGCGGGTGGGTCGCGGGGGTGGCTTGGGGGCCATAGGTCGGCCATGCGCAGAGGGGGGTAGGGGGAGGGGGGAAGGCTTCTTAGAAGCACCCCTGCTTCCTGGAAGGCGCGGGCCTTCTCTGCAGATGTAAGGCTGGCGCCTTCTAAGAAGCAGCCTCCTTCTAAGAGGCCTTTCCCCCACCCCCTACCCCCCTCTGCGCGCCGCCAGATGGGTGCTGGTTGGGGGCGGGGGGGTCGCGGGGGGGTCGCGGGGCGGGCTGGGGTCGCGTGGGTCGCGAGGCGGGTCGCGGGTGGGTCGTGGAACGGGAGGCCGGCAACGAGAACGACGACAATCCGCGCCGCGGAAGCCCACCACAGCCACACACCCAGGGAGAGCATAAGACCGTTGGGAACCCACATTTTGATGTCTTCCTGCACGTCCACATCCTGCATGGCAAAAGCCCCTGGATGGTTTCCACACAAACACACCCACACACCCTACAGAATGCCCAGGTCCCTCTCGGACGAGCGGTCCCTCGGCCTTCCGAGCCTTCAAGGTTGCTCTTGCCTCACCTAGACAAAGAGCCAAAGGCAATCTCGCCCCACGAGAGCCCGAGGCGGCTTGCAGACGGCCCGAGAAGGCCCAGCGAAGATCCCTGGACCCCCCAACACACAAGGAGAAACGCTTTCCAGTCTATTTCTTTGCACGCTTTGGGTCTAGTCGTTTCGTGGGTCTTCCGGGCGGGCGTCCGAGACCTCCCCTTAGGCCGCCCGCGAAGATCGGCCCGAGACGGCTGGAAGCGAGCAGAAGTGAGCTCCAAGACCGCCCAGCAGGGCCCCAAGACGAAATCTGAACATTCGTTAGAGCTCGAATCTTTTTCCCACCATATTCGATCTCATTCCCGCTCGCCATCTTAATCTCAGGTCGATCGGGTACATATTACTGTCAAAAAGCACTCAGGCGGGATCGGCTGTTCAGAGTCATCTTGGCAGGTGTTGTCGGTTTTCTGAACTTAGTGCCAAGAGCGCCCCTCGGCGGAGTTGGCGTCAGGACCCCCCCCCCCCGAGAGCCCTCCGGGTGTGGGCGCTCCTGCGGTCTCCCGGGCGCTCGAGGCCTCCCTCCCAAGAGGCTCCCAGGATCGACCCGGACTGCTCTGAGAGAGTCCGCAGGGTCGCAAAGATCGCCCGACCGGACCCCAAGTAGGGGAACAACAAGTGGCACAAACACAACAACTCGGAGGTACGCGCGGATTTCTCGGATCGGCGCTGGACCCCCCTCCCTGGCGCGCGGAGCGCGCCAGGGGCGGCGCCGGGGGCGCCGCCATGGGGGTCCAGCGCCGATCCGAGAAATCCGCGCGGACCTCCGAGTTTTTATGTTTATGTCACTTTTTGTTCCCCTGCCAAGACGAGAGAGCCCCGAGGAGGTCCAAGTTGGCCGCAAAAAGACGCCCCCCAGAGCACCCCAAGAGTGCCAGAGCGGCTCCACAAGGGCCCCAACCAGCCCTGGAACCTTACGAGGCCCCTCAAGGCGACCCAAGAGGCTCCCAAAACCTCAAAGCCTGTCTTTCCATGGTTGTTGGCGTGCTATCTGGCACCTGCTTCTTCAGCCTTCAGGCGTTCGAGACCGCCCCACATGCTCCCAAGGTCGCCCAGACCCGCGCCATAAGAGACGACCCTAGATGGCCCCGAGGAACCCCAAGACATCCCATAAGGAACCCACAGATAACACAGCGTTGCCCCGATGCGATCCTCAGAACACTCCCGACCGCGACCTGGTCGCTGAAGGAAGCTGCATTTGGAGGCAAAGTGACCCTATCAACTCCCAACCGGCCCCTGGGCGATATCAACGGGATCCCCATGACGTGACGCGAAGCCCATGGGGACCACGACCCGACCTCGGCACACCAGGACATATACTCAACGCACGAATGATAACTCCTTGGCGCAAGCCCTGTTTGTTCAAACGGCGCCCGAAGTCCCAAGGAACCTCACCGACCCCCCTCTTGACAGACTGGCAGAGCCTCAGCGATGTGAATGTGTGAAAGCATACAGGCCTCGGAAAAAAATAGCGAACAATCATGCCACATTCATCTGTGAACGCCTCCCCCTCCCCCCAATGTTCAAAGTTGGCGGTGGGTCTGATGAGTTGCGCCTCGACCGCAGTCTCCCCCCCGCGTGCCAACTTTGAGTTTGGGGGGCAGGGGGGGTGTTCACTAATTGTTTCCCTCTACCGTATCCCAAAGGACAGTGCCCCTTCACCCGAGACCCCGCACACACTTGTCTCACAGGTCGTTTCCAGGTGCTGTTTTCTTACAGCGGACGCGCGCCGCAATAGTCCGTACTGCAGTGCCGTCAACTCCTCACGCATGTCGTCAATGTGATGACGCCCCGCATCATGCTTGGACGCAAGGACCACTGGCTGAGGCGAGGCCAAGCGGACCCCGAAACCTTTTGTATAACATATGAACGTATTGGGATTTCCAAGCGTATGCGCGCGTGTGCGTGCGTGTGCGTGCGAGCTTGCGTACGTGCGTGTGTGTGCGCGCGCGTGTGCGTGTGTGTGTGTGTGTGTGGTTGCCGGTTGCCTGCGTGTGCGTGTGTGGTTGCGTGCGTTCGTGCGTGCGTGCGTGTGTGATTGCGTGCGTTCGTGCGTGCGTGCGTGTGTGTGTGTGTGCGCGTGTGTGTGTGCGTGTGTGTGTGTGTGTGTGTGTGTGTCTGTGTGTGTATGTGTGTGTGTGTGCGTGTGTGTGTGTGTGTGTGGTTGCCGGTTGCCTGCGTGTGCGTGTGTGGTTGCGTGCGTTCGTGCGTGCGTGCGTGTGTGATTGCGTGCGTTCGTGCGTGCGTGCGTGTGTGTGTGTGTGTGCGCGTGTGTGTGCGTGTGTGTGTGTGTGTGTGTGTGTGTGTGTGTGTGTGTGTGTGTCTGTGTGTGTATGTGTGTGTGGGTGTGCGTGTGTGTATGTGTGTGTGCGTGTGCGTGTGCGTGTGTGTGTGGTTGCGTGCGTGCGTGCGTGTGTGTGTGTGCATGTGCGTGTGCGTGTGCGTGTGCGTTTGTGTAGCTGCCCTCCTGCGTGCAGAGTGGCAGGCGTGCTCGCTCTCTGCCCCCCATCGTCTTCCCGCGCGCTCCGGCGATCTCGGGCGCACGGCCGACCTGGTGGACACAGCATCGACAACAGTCGGGGCGCCGAAGAAGGAACCCTTTTCGTTGGGGAGGGGCTCGGTGTTCCTTGATTGTTTCACAGTTTGCCTCAAGTCTTCCTGAGGTTTTCCATGGGGCATCGGAGCTTAACTTATGAGACAAGGGGTCTCGTTCCTTCTTTCGGGTTCCTTAGGTCAACGCCCCGACCGTAGCGGGCAGAGAACGGGTTGGAATAGTCTTTGCCGCCATCGGGGACGCTCGTGCCCGGCCGTCTGGAAAGGTTCTACCCCTGCCTGCCACCACATGGGTGTACGCTTCCCGCGGCCGCCCTTGGGCGGGCCCCCCCGATGACGGAACGGCTTACTTATCTGTTACATTGCTTCTCGCCCGCTAGATCGCCGGGCTCGCGCAGGTCGTGCGTGGGCAGCGGGGTGGCACGCAAGAGGCCGGAGGCTCCTCACGCGCTTGGTCCACACGTCTTCACCGCTCGGCGCGTGCAGCCCGCCACGCGGAGGGCCGCGTCCAGCAGCACGGCGCAGTGCACTGTTCATCTGCGCGCCTGCTCATGGTCTTCTGCATGCTGTTGCCAGCTGCCCATGGGTCCTTGAGAGGAGGCGCGTCCTGAGGTTTTTCGCCGTTCTCGGGCGTCATGGGGGGCGTTTCCCCGGCCCCGAGACTGTCAGAAAGCAACCCGGGATGAAAAGCTGGTCCTGGGGGATGATGCCTGGGTCCAGGACCCGTTTCCCGAAGGACCCGCTTCTTGCACTCTGAAAGTCGTGGAGTGGCATGATGTGCGGCTCGGTCGCCTCCTCTCCTCCGTTCCGAGCAGCGCCCCTTCTGTGGCCCTCGTGGCGCTTCTGCCCCGAGCTGCTCCTGGGGGGCCAGAGCGCGCTCCTATGATTTTGCCGCTTCTGCAGCGAGTGGGTGGCAATGGATATCTTGCGCTGACAGCTGGTGTTGTTCGAGATGGCATTGTGGAGGACGATCCATGGAGAGAAAACATGTTGCCAAATAATTTCCAGATGCCTGAAACATGTGTTAAACATGTTTCAAGCATGTACAACACTTGTTTGAAACATCTTTATAACATTTTCCGACATTATAAACACATGTTAAATTCAATGATAGGACTGTTAGGGTGTTCATTGTCGTGGCATCCACAAATATGGCAGGGACAGGCTCAGCGCGGCGCACGCGTGGTGCTTGGAGGCCGGAGCCTGGCGATTGCTGTTGTTCTACCTTCTTGTGGAGTGTTCCGAAGAGAGGTGGCAAAGAAGCGGTGATGTACAATGATGGTCACGATATGGTTGTTGTTGGCGGGGATGGGGATGATGAGGATGTCAATGATGGGAATGGTGGATCTGGTCATCACCCTGGTTATCATGATCACGATCGTCATCATTGCGACGGGGACCGAGCAGGATTTTGCATTGAAGAAGAGCAGGCTGAGGGGGAAGAACAGGTGCATGGTAAGGTCGATTAGGGATTAGGGGGAGGACGAGGAGGAGGAGGAGGAGGAGGAGGAGGAGGAGGAGTGAGGAGGAGGGGGAGGAGGAGTGAGGAGGAGGAGGAGGAGGAGGGAGGAAGGAGGAAGGAGGAGGCACGACAGATGAGCGAGGAGGATGAGGATGGGAGGAGGAAGCGAAAGAGGTCAAAAAGGAGAGAGGGGAAGCGGACGGTGGCGACTGTGAACACGGGCACGAGGAGGACGGGCGGCGGAGGAATTTGGCGACGAGGATTGGGGAGGAAGCGGACGGGCAGGGGAACGAGGAGGAGGAGGAGGAGGAGGAGGAGGAGGAGGAGGAGGAGGAGGAGGAGGAGGAGGGGGGGGATGAGCAGGGGGACGAGCAGGATCAGCTGCTGGCGAGGAGGCAGGCAGCCCTCGGGGCACGAGTGGCTCACTCCCCGAGTTTTTTTTTGCCAGTGGGCGCCATGACGTGCACAGCTTGTCTCGTCCCGTCCTCGGCGAGTCTGGAAGGGTCCACAGGGCGGGCGGGCGTGCGGACGGCCTGCCGAAGGCCGTTCCTGCCCACCGCGCTCGGTGGAACCTGTCGGGGACGGGTCTGCACTGGCCCTGGACGGTGCGCAGCGTCAGTGGCTCTGGACCGGTCCTGGGTGGGTCTGCACTGGTCCTGGGAGGGTCCGCACTGGTCGAGGCGGGAGGCACGGCTGCTCGAGCGCCGTGGCGGTGGCGGTGAGCGCGGCTTCGCGGTCCGGCGGTGGCTGCGACCTGGTCGGAGCGAGGCGCTGCGTGAGGTCGCTTCTCTGGTCGGTGCGCGGCGCTGGGGTCGGGCGGGCGCCTCAACCCTGGTGGTGTCGGGGGGTATGCCTGTGTGCAGGAAGCGCTGCGTTGGGGGGCAGGACGGCTCCTCCTCCTCCTCCTCCTCCTCCTCCTCCTCCGGCTCCTCCTCCTCCCTCCTCCTCCTCCTCCTCCTCCTCCTCCTCCGGCTCCTCCTCCTCCTCCTCCTCCTCCTCCTCCTCCTCCTCCTCCTCCCTCCTCCTCCTCCGGCTCCTCCTCCTCCTCTCTCCTCCTCCTCCTCCTCCTCCTCCTCCCTCCTCCTCCTCCTCCTCCTCCGGCTCCTCCTCCCTCCTCCTCCTCCTCCTCATCCTCCTCCTCCCTCCTCCGCTTCCTCCTCCTCCTCCTCTCCTCCTCCTCCTCCTCCTCCTCCTCCTCCTCCGTCCTCCGTCCTCCTCCTCCTCCTCCTCCTCCTCCTCCTCCTCCTCCTCCTCCTCCCTCCTCCCTCCTCCTCCTCCTCCTCCTCCCCTCCCCCCTCCTCCTCCTCCTCCTCCTCCTCCTCCTCCTCCTGCTCCTCCTCCTCGGTGTGCCGCAGCGCTGGCCAGCCCAGTGGGTTGGGGCGGCGGCATTGGCTCATCGGGCGCAGTCCGCGACCTTTCGCCTACCAAGCGCAGGTCGCCTCCCAGATACAGTCGGTGGACAAATTATCGTAAGTTATCTGATCATTCTGAGAAACAGTGTGCCAACTAGGATCAGATTTCTGAGGACCCCCACATCCCCACATTTCGATGTTGACTTGCATTATTTTGTCCACCCAGACTTGGGGTGTTCGCTTGGTGCCAACATTGAAATGTAGGGGGCGGGGATCGTTCGTCGAGGTGGTGCCGCAATGTAGGTGCAGCCGCACGCGGTCAGGAGCAACTTGCAACATTTCGTCGTCCCACCGTAGATGACGTTGCAGGCGCAGATGTGGCCTTGGGTGTGGTTGTCTGCGTCGGGGGGACGGTCGAGTCCATACTGCCACCCGTGTGGTCGATGTCAGTGTTGTGTTGCATAGGTCGCAGTTGGTTACCTGCGGTGGGGTCGTGGTGGACCTCCACCTCGTGGGTCTTTGCTGTCGTATGCCTCCTTGGGCGTGGGTATGGACTGTCGTCTTCCGCGTCGTGGCCATCGCTGTCTTGGCAGCCTGTGTGTGGGAACGGCCGTCATCGGCGTTGTCGAGGGCCCCCCTCCAGGCCGAGTGGGTCCTCCTCGTCTCCTTCAAGGTTGTCAGAAGGATGTCCCATGGGTCGTCGAGCTTATCGTAATAAGTACCCTCCCCGTGCTTGGCCCACCCTGGTCGTCCTTGCTTGCCTGTCGTGTCCGTGCTCTCCCTCTCACCCTCGCGCTCTCTCTCTCTCTCTCTCTCACTGTCTGTCTCTATCACCCGCACTCTTGGCGAGCGACGTTCGATCAGTACCCCTGCTGCGGCCACCACCCTTGGCCGCCACGGGGGACAGCAGGGCGCGCAGCAAGAACCTGGACTCCCGAGGTCGGATTTTCTGCGTATGCCCGCACTGCTGCCCCCTCATATCAGGCTGGCGTGACCAGGGATGCGGATGAGACGCCGGTCGTCTGCTCTCCCTCTCTCCAGGTGCAAGGGGGGGGGACGGAACGGAAGCCGGCGAGAGGGCTTCGCGGACGCGCTGAAGAAGGACGTGGGCCGCGCGGGTTCGATCAGCGGGGGAGGGAGGAGCGAGGAGCAGAGAGGAACAAGGAGGAGGCGGGGAAGACGGAGGAGGAGCAGGAGGAGGAGGAGCAGGGGGAGCAGGAGGAGGAGGAGAGCAGGACAGAAGGATGACAGGAGGAGGGCAACGGGAGGAGGAGGCGGGGAAGAGGGACGAGCAGGGGACGGAGTGGGAACACGGAGATGTGGAACAGGAGAGAGAGGGCTGCGAATGGTCGACCGAGGGCAGGTGAAGGAGGAGGACGAGGAGGGAGAACGAAGTGAGAAACGAGAAGGAGGGAGGACGAGGATCAGATGCGTAGGAGGCGGAGGGAGGACGTAGGAGCAGGAGGAGCAGGAGGAGGAGGAGGATAAGGAGGACTAGGCATGAGAACAGGCGAAGGGCCCCGAATGCCAACGTGGGTGGGGAGAACGCTGGCGACGGACATGCCACCATCACGCGCCCCCCCTTCTTTCCTCTGTTTTCTTCCTTCACTGGGGCGTCGTTCGGACGGTGTGATTTTTGTGTTTGTTTGTTCCTTTGTTCGCGGATACGCCTGCTCGACGTGGGTTTACTTCGCGGAGTCGTGAGGAGTTTGCGTGCCTCTAGCATCCCCGCAACGGACAAGAAAGCATACCTATACGACAACCCTGTGGGTGATAAGGAGGTTGGGGGGGGGGCAGCAATGGGCAAAAGTGGTGATTGTTGTTCTGACGATGCCTGTGGGGCAGAGTCTAGTGAGTAGTGTGATTGTACACAGCCCACGGCGGGACACCGGCGGGACGCCAGCGGGACACCGCGGGCCACCATTTGACGGGAGGAGCATCATTTGGTCCGGCCGCGGCCCAGCGACAGGAGGATTTCGGGACACCAGCGGGACATTGGCGGGACACCGCGGGCCACCGGCCGCTGGAGAATCGTTTGGTCCGGCCGCGGCCCAGCCACAGGAGGATTTCGGGACACCAGCGGGACACCGCGGGCCACCAGCCGCCGGAGGAGAAACATTTGGTCCGGACACGGCCCAGCCACAGAAGGATTTCCTCTCGCCCGCCTACGCAGCTTCGCCTCGCCCGCACGCACGCACGGCACGCACGACACGAACCCGAAACCGAAATCGATTTCCCGGTAGGGGGGTCTCCGTTTCACGTCGGACTCACCCCCCAACCTCCGACTCGAAAATCGAGTCCGAGCGACGGCAAGTCTCCCGCCCTTCCAAGTACTTACCTGTCTATCTTCTCCCTCCTCCTCGCTTCTTCCTTGCCCATTCTGCCTCGCCTCACCATCCTCTTGTCATCTTCACCCTTGTTCTTTGCTCATTGTTCCTTCATCACTCCTTCATGTTTGTTTTTGTCGTCCCTCCTAGCTGCCGAGGAGCCCTCCGCCACACAAGCACCGCCGGTTGTCACGGACGCGGTCGCCAGAGGCTCCTGGGCAAAGGCGGACCGCCTGAGGTGGCAGAAGGCGGGTGGTGCAGCGATGCGAGCCCACGAGGCAGAGGGAGGACGGAACGAGTGATTACCAGCCCTCGTTCCGAACGAACTACGGACGGACGAACGAAATACGGAACGACGAAATACGGACGAAATGCGTACAACTGAAACGTAGCACAAACGACATACGGACGGACGAAATTTGGACGAGTACTTGCAACATTGTTTACCGATTTTGAGCCAGACTCGCTGCTGGTGTCGCCACGAACGTGGTCTGGTTGTGACACAATCCCTATGTCCACCAACGGTGCTGTCTATTTTGAACAACGCTTACTTTGTGTATCGTCCCAAGTGACGAAGGATGACAGAGGAGGGGGACGATAAGAAAAGTAACAGGTAGACGAGGGACGAAGGAGGACAGAGGAGGTGGAGGACAAGGGGGAGAGGGAGGAGAAGGAGGTGGAGGACTAATGAGCTGGTGGCGCCACGAACACAGGAGGAGTGCTGATAGGACGATGCGGAGCGGTACGGATAGGAGGGAGGATACGCCTGTTATGAGAAGGAGGAGGGCCAAGAGTAGGAGGAGTCGGGAAGAATAGCAGGAGGAGGAGGTGAAGGAGCAATCTGAGGGAGGGGAGAGGAGCAGGGTCAGCAGAATGTCCAGGAGAAGGGGGAAGGATTGAATCTAACGAGGAGCAGGAGGTTGACGAGAGGGACAAGCGGCAGCGGGAAGGTGCTCAGAATGATGAACGCTATGAAATTTGTGATGGTGGTGATGGCGGTGATGGCGATGACGACGATGGTAATGATGACGACGAGGATGGTGATGCTAGTGATGATGATGCTGATAATGAGGATGATGAGGATGGTGATGATACTGACGATGGTGCTGATGATGATGATGATGATGATGATGATGATGATGATGATGGTCATGGTCATGGTCATGGTCATGATCATGATCATGCTCATGATGATGATGAGTATGATGATGCTGTTGCTACTGATGCTGGTGATATTGATGATTATGATGATTATTGTCATTGTGATGCTGATGATGATGGTGATGACAATGATGATAATGCTGATGAGGCTGATGTAGATGATGGGGTTGATGGTGATGGTGGTGATGATGATCACTATGGTGAGGTTGGTGATGATGACGACGATGATGCTGACGATGATGATGACGGTGATGTTGATGCTGATGATGACGGTGATGCTGAGGCTGATGTGGATGTTGATGTAGCTCAGGATGGTAGTGGTACTGTTGCTGATGATCGTGGTGAGGGGAAGGACAACGACGATGACGACGAGCGGGAGGGTCTGGAGCAGGTGGCGGGAGGGTGAGACGAGGAGGCGATGTCTGATGGCGATGGTCACGATGAGGGGCGGTGGCTGGAGAGAGACGGCGGGGGAGTCGGACTGCGAGGAGCGATGGGGGAGCGACCCCGCGGCGGGGGGGGCGGCGCGGAGGCCGCGAAGGCGGAGCCCGAGGAGGCCGCGAGGTTGTACACTCAGGCTCCCCTGGTAGAGCGAGGAGGGGTAGGAGGACGACGACGACGACGTTGTGGACGAGGAGGAGGAGGAGGAGGAGGAGGAGGAGGACGACGACGACGACGGCGACGACGACGTTGTGGGCGAGGAGGACGAGGAGGTGGGGGAAGGAGGACGAGGGGGAGGAGGCGGTAGGGTAGGGGGGGGAGAGAGAGAGAGAGAGAGAGAGAGAGAGAGAAAAAAAAAAAAAAGAGAGAGAGAGAGAGAGGAGGAGGAGCCGAGCAGGGATGGAGAGGATCGGGGGCAGGAGGAGGGGGAGGGAGGACTTGGAAAAAGTGGATGAGGCGGCAATGAGGAGGAGGAGGGGGAGGAGGAGGAGGAGGAGGAGGAGGAGGAGGGGGAGGAGGAGGAGGACGAGGAGGAGGAGGGGATGGGGAGGGCTCGGGAGTAGTGAGGAGGATGAGGAGGATTACGAGAAAAACCAGATAAGTAAGGGAAGAAAGATGAGGAGGAGAAGGAGGATGAGGAGGAGGAGGAGGAGGAGGAAGAGGAGGTGGACGTGGAGGAGGAGGAGGAGGAGGAGGAGGAGGAGGCGTCGACCGTCGCCTCGGCCGCTGGCGGCTGGTTGGGCCTCGTGAGGCCCTTGGGCCCCCCCCCCCGTGTGCGGGCGCAGCAGTCGGGCTGCGCTCCACGTGCGGCAAAGACCGCAGCCTCCGCGGCACAACGCCGCCGAGGCATTGGCCGCGTCGCGTGAGCGACATTGGGCCGCGCTCGAAAGGCTCGAAAGGGGTGCGCGGGTGCACGCGCGGCTCGGCATCCGCTGCAGCCCGGCCTCAGCGCTGTGGGATGCCTCGAGCGTGTTGCTTGATCCTGTCGCGCGGCCCGCTTAGCTTCGACCGGAAGAGGTGCGCTCTCGACCCGCGGATCAAAAAAGCGCTTCTTCATCCTCTTTATTATAGCCCCTGGCCCTCCCCTCCCCCCCCCCATATAGAATAACGCCCCTCCCCCCCCAGTGCGCTCTGGGCACTGCCGCCGTGCGCACGGCGGGGGGGAGGCGCTACATTTAACCCCCCCTGGCCCCTCTCCCCCCTATAATGCCCATGATCGCCGAAAATAAAAAAAACGCGCTCCTCGGTGCGCAGTGCAGTCTGCCGAAGTGCTCCGCGTCCAGGCGGGCCGGGGCACCACCGTGTTGCTGATGTCGGGGTTGTCATCGGCTGGGCGTGGGTATTTTTAAAGTTGCAGTCGCTGTCCGAACGGGCCGGTCACGGGTGCACTCCTCGCTAGGCTTCTGGGATACGATGTGATTGCGCTGTGTGTTTGCAAGTGTTTGGTCATGACGCGCATACCTTACATGTTGGTTGCTACTCAAGAGGCCTACACTACTCCGCCGCCGCCGACCCCGATATGTGGATGGGCGACATGAGTTGTTGACGTTTCCCGCATCGCCAGCAGCCAATCCAGACGGATTTCCAGGAGAACAGTCGGGATAATGAACGTATATAAACACACATTTGAAGAGCACGACCCACAACGTTGGATTTAAAGACCTCTGGTCGTTTCTTGGAGGTCTCGTGGTGTCATTTTGGAGGTCTCTTGGGGACCGTGTGGGAGCCGTTGTGTCCTTTCCTGTTCTTGTTGTGTACCTGTGTACCCTCTCGGGTCTATCAGGCCCTCTTGAAGCTATCGTGAAGGCCATCCATCCTTAAATTCGGGAGTCCCTAGTCAGGCCCTCCCGCTTGGAGCCCGACATTTCGCCTCTTGGGCTGTCTGAGGTCGCTCATGGAATGATTCTGGAGGCCTTCGGGGCTGTCTTGGGACAATTGTTGGCCCCTTTTTGGGCTCTCTTAGAAGATCCTGGAGCCATCTGGAGGCCCCAGAAACCCGCCGGAAACGAAAAGTCGGGACCTCAGAAACCCGCTGGGAGCGGAAAGGCGAGAATGCAAACAACATTGGAGAACAACCGCACGTGTTTTAATAGTGGCCTCGCGGGGGAATCCCTTCGACGCCCTGTTTTGGGACTTCCCAGGCCGCACAGGAGTCCTCTGGAGCCCATTGGGAGGGCGTCGTAGGAATCCTTGAGGCGTCCGAGAGTCGATTCAAGGGGGCTCCGAGTGCGCTCGGGAGAGGCGCTGGGGATCTCGTCCCCCCCCGGCCTTCCCCGCCCCCCAAACAAGTGGATCCAGGACCCCCCAGAGAGGGTGCCAGGGGGGAGGAGGACGGGCAAGCAGATGGCGGGTTTGCCCTGGCTTTTGCTGTGGAGTTTAGCTCTATTTGGGGCCCCCTCCCTCTGTGCTCCCAGATCATGTCCTCGCAGTGTTAAGTCGGGCCTGTCTGTCTACGTATTGTTTGAAGCGAAATGCTGTTTTTATTTTTGTTGCCCAAAACCCGCCTGTAGGGGGACATGACCGACCTAACCGTAGAGTTTTCCCGGCACCGCTGTTGTGTTGTATCAAACCAGCTTGAGGCCCAATTGTTAACGGCAGCGATCGACAGGAAACGATCCCCCCGTTTGATAGTGGCTGCCGCCGCCCATTCATTGTGGGGCCAGAGGGGATGGAGAGCGATTCGGGCTCCGCAGTGGTAGCGGAGCTATGAAGCGCCACGGACGGCGCCGCCGCGCGCCATAAAGAGATACTATTCTCAAAGACAACGACGGATTTCGTTCAGGGGCGCGTGACAGCAGGACGGCGAGAGCTTCGAGTACGAGTGCAAGCGTGACCTGTACAACGACAAGAAGGCGACCGCAAGACAAGGTGGTCAAGGAGCGCGCACACCAGACAGGAAGCCTATGATGGGCGCGCATGGCGTGAGGGGGGGCGGTCGTCTACTCTGCCGCCGCGCGGTGGGCAGAGCGACCGACCAAAGACACCACGGCCATGCCCCAGGTTCCTTCGGCAAGGATTTGAAGGGAATGTCGGCGTGGGTGACACCGCTACTAGAAGGACGTAGCCCTGTGGTTGGAAGAGATCAACCTGGACACTAACTTCTCATGGGCTGCGAGGATGGCGAGGTGCCTGACATGGCCATCGGACGCGCTGGCAGAGGGCACTGCGATGGAATACCTTCGAGCGGGAAATTGGAGCACGACTGAGACATCGAGGAGGGGACCAATCCCGATTCAGTGGCGGGCATCAAGCACTTGCCGGAAGTGTTCGACTAGATGTAGCGCGGTCAAGCCGAGCAAGAAGGGACTGGTGATGGTTCATGTGCACAAGGTCCGGGCGAGGCGCCCAGGTGACGAGATGAATATTCGGGTGAGCGGACCCGGCAATGCCAAGTCCCAGTTCGACCAGGAAGAGGTTGGACAGGCTGCGGGTACCTCGTTTGGTGGCTTTTCGACGAGACCGGACTCACCAACAACCAAAGAGCATGCTGACGACCGCGACGGGTGGATACCTCGCCCTGGCCATCATGGCGTTAGCACGGACCAGGATCTTCTCCCAGGTGCACATGACAGACCGAGGTCGGGCAGCACGGGTAGCGCCTAATAAGCCGACTGCCCACCGTGGAGTGGTGCCCGGCACGCGTGACATCAAGGAACGTATATTTTGGAAGTTCAGGGGGCCTAGCGTGGCCGAGGGCATAGGCGAGCTGGACGGTTTGCCGGAGGATGCGCTGGAAGCTTTCACGACCGAGTTGGATGGCGACGCGGGCGGCGAAACCCGGAATGAGGTCTTGGAGGCCGCGCGCGATGAGGTGGGCGGAAACGATCTCGACCAGCGCCTCGCCAAGGAAGATGGATGTTTAGGTTGCCTTGCCAGATGATGGAGAACTCGGGCCAGGGCTGGCCAACGAGCTCGCGAAAATCGAGAGCGGCATGGAGACGATGGTGGAAGGGGACCATCACTGCGAGGGGGGGCGAGAAGCGCGTGAACGAAGTGTGACATGACAGAAAGTTAGGGCAGCCAGGTGCGAGGTTGGAGCCGACAAAGCGTTGCTGATTCGGATACGCAGGCACGAGCAATTGGGCAGGCGATTCCACCTGCACCATGATCGACGAATGGCGCACTGGGCAGCGGGAGCACGGTCGGGGGGAGGCGTTGCTCACTATCAGGGTCGTGAAGAAAAATGTGGTCGACTTGTTGAAGGATTTGCGAGCGCGGGGCTTTGTCTGCGCAGGCAGCGTTGCTGTCGGCGTCCATCGGCGGAGAGGGCGACGCTGGCGCCGCGGGCCCGGCCTGCAACTCTACGGCCAGCGGCGACGGGTGGACTGGCAGGTGCGAGAGCAGGTGAAATAAGCACGGCATCGAGGATTACTTTGCGAAGGAACTCCAGCTGTGCGCGCTCAGGTCTGGCAGCGGTGAGAAGACGGTGCCCCGTGACAAGCGGGCCGGGCTGGCATCGATATTCAGCGCCGGCGCGAGATTCAGTTTCTCGGTGTTGACCGATTCCACGCTGCAGTTGCTGGTCGGTGAGATCGCGGGCAAGGGGCTCGGCCTGCTGGCGAACTTCGAAACTGGGGAGGCGCGCCCCCGCTTGCCGAGGATCGAGCCCACGGAGCTTGGAAAGTCGACGGGATCCCACCACGCGACAAACGCGATGCCCAGGGCTGGGTGGCCCCCCCTCCTGCGATGGCACAGTTGCCGCGTCTGCCAACAAGCGGATGGCGTGCGAGGCGTCGGCGATGCTGCGCAGCCCCCAGAAGGAGATCTCATGCGAGATTTTTCTCGGCGGAGAGCGGCCGCCAAGATGGCGGCGGCGAGGGCCTTGGCGAGAGCGCGAAGAGTCGGCGGCCCCATGGCGCGTTGCCCAGGAGACGCGATCAGGAGGACTACGAGGATGACCGCGATAGTTGGGATGTGGCAGGCGAAAACGATGCCTGGACGAACGGGATGTTCAAGCGCCGGCGCTTCGTGGCCACCCGGGGCACTCCTGCGCGCCCCGCTCGCTGGCCCGAGCCGCCGGGGCATCTGTGGGCCCGCTGCCCGAGGGCGGCGATGGCAAAGACGATGACCGCGGAGACATCCACGGGCCCATCGAGAATCGAGGCGCGCGGACGAAGCTGCCGAGGTCGAAGCCCT